AGGAAGCATAAAAACACTAACGCCTGACAGATAGAACGTTAGAAACTGCATTATCCGGCGTTTCTCCAGCCAAACTCTTTCCAACTGCACTTTTCGTCTATCGTTGCTTTATAGGATTGTAATTGAGTATAGCCTAATTGTTCTATGAAGTAGAGCACAAAAAAATATGATGTAGAAATATATGAGCGCACAAGGTAGTAGGAAAAGCACTTCACAGAAAAGCGGCTTTCCCGACGAGTTCTTTACCTTCTACCATGTGCGCTCAAATAAATCCACATTATTTTGTACCACTTTGCCCAGCATTCCACTTTATCAAACTTTAATATCATCTAGTTTGTTCAGTAGGTACCAGCATGCATATGGTCAAGTCATCATTCAGTGCGACACCATATTAAAACTTCTCACTCCGGGGCCCGATATAACAGGAGTCTAACACGTGGCACCAGGGCCGCATGCAGCCCGCTAGCCTTTCTATAGCACATGACTGTCTTTGTCTCGCATTTTTTTTCAATAAGTTTGTCCATATCTCCATACACATATGTGACTGGTCTCAAGCATTCTTTTCGCGGCCCCGCCGCGGTGGTCTGGTGGCTAAGGTACTCGGCTGCTGACCCGCAGGTCGTGGGTTCAAATCCCGGCTGCGGCGGCTGCATTTCCGATGGAGGCGGAAATGTCGAGGCCCGTGTGCTCAGATTTGGGTGCACGTTAAAGAACCCCAGGTGGTCAAAATTTCCGGAGCCCTCCACTACGGCGTCTCTCATAATCATATGGTGGTTTTGCGACGTTAAACCCCACAAATCAATCAATCATTCTTTTCGCGGGGCAAGAGATACGGTCATGTGATGAAACCACGGGCTGAAACATACCCGCTGGAACAAGCTCTCTTTATATGAGAATCAGCGTTAAGATTTCAATAATTCAGTGACGATGTTTCTCAAATCCTGACTAAAAATGTCCTTCTTCGAAAATTACCTGTATATAAGATATGTGAAAGAATTCCTTCGAAAATGCCAACAAAGGTTGATATCTTGCTCAAACCCATCTACCCCCCTCCTCTTGAATGCAAAGTATTTCTTAAAGAACTTCAGCGAATGTGAACGTATCTGTCTGTCTGTCTGTCTGTCTGTCTGTCTGTCTGTCTATCTGTCTGTCTATCTATCTATCTATCTATCTATCTATCTATCTATCTATCTATCTATCTATCTATCTATCTATCTATCTATCTATCTATCTATCTATCTATCTATCTATCTATCTATCTATCTATCTATCTATCTATCTATCTATCTATCTATCTATCTATCTATCTATCTATCTATCTATCCTACGACGTTTAGCTTTCCTGGCCATTTCGATAATTGTATTGATAGAAAAATAGTTGTGGCATAGCATGACTGTATGACGAGCATAAATGGTTGGTCATGACAAGAAAATCATGACATGTATATCACGAATCTCATAATTTACGTTTTATAGTCTTGCTGCTTTTGCGGTGCTTTCCCTAACATGACATACTACATAAATGACAGCTCCTAACATGGAAAGCAAGACATGCGTATCTTGTAAAACATGACTGCAAGCTACACTCTACACTCATAGTGCACTCGCAGTCCTTTCGCTAGCTTCACATATACCAAATTTGGTGTTACGTAACGCCACAAGATGATGAATTTATGTATATGATTGTTGCTGATATGATAATAATGACGTGCGTGTCATCTAAGAACATGACAACATACCACGCTCGTGATGCGCTAGCGGCCGTTTCGCTAGTTTCACATATACCGAATTTGGTATGAGGTGACGCAAACGGACAACGAAGGTATGTTACACGTCCAATGATGATAATCATGGCATGCGTGTCATATAAAACATCACTATATGCCATGATCATAGCACGCTCGCGGCCATTTCGCTACCTCTACATATACCGAATTTGATATCACGTGACGTGAACAGACGAAGAAGGTCAATGACACGTCCAAATGTGATAATCATGATATGCGTGTCATGTAAAACATGACTACATGCTACGCTCATAGAGTGCTCACGGGCGTTTCGCTAGCTCCACATACACCAAATTTGGTAGCACGGGACATCAACGAAGGCCAAATTACCTAATTTTGTATCACGACGAATGCAAATGACGCGTCCAAACATTATAATCATGACATGCTTGTCATGTAAAACATGGCTACATGCTACGCTCATAACGTGCACGCAGGCATTTCGCTAGCTCCACATATACCAGATTTGGCATCACGTGACGTGAATAGACGACGAAGGTAGCTGACATGTCCAAACACGATAATCATGACATGCAAGTCAATATACGGAATAATTTACGTCCACCTCGCAACGTCATGGTGATTTTAAAGTGATATGTCAACCTTCCTCATTAATGCTTCTTACATCGTTGATTTCCACTGTACGTGGAATCTGGCAGTTTTTTTTCATTCGTTTATACAAAGTTTTTACGTAATTTGTTAGTTCGCCGAACGTGATAATAGGCCATGACACCATAACATCGTTCTTGTTTTTAGAAGTGCGTCAGTGTCCCTCTAATCCCTGCTTTTATCCGACTGAAATTCCGCCAAAGCGCTTAAGATGTACATAACTGTCGTGAAGCTATCGAAAGATAGCTTTCATAATGCACTCCTCGGCTATCAAGAGCTTAAGTGGGGACGAACTATAATTTTATTTTATAATGAAGTACCGTGAAGAAAAGTGGAGACAGCCTGTATATCCTTGCGGTACAGATCATCTGCCTGACTTGAAAGCAACTTCTGACAGACCAAATGATCTGAATTATTCTGCCTTGCCAGTATGCACAGCTTTATATGAAACTTAAAATATGCTGAGATATTCTCAATGGTTTCCGAAAAATGATGAGAAAAAGTATTAGCAGTTTTTCTTTTTTAGAAAAAATCTCCTTGTAACATTGAAACGTTATCATGACAAACTAAAGAACAACCTAACACACAAAAGTTTTGAGGCAAAGAATTGAAAAGAAAAGGCAAAAGGAAAGAGCGCTTCCTCTCCTCGGTGGTTCATGTCGTCTATTTTTCTTGAAGCCTGCACCAACTGGACCAATAACCAGTTTCACTGAAATATAAGAGAATTCTTGAATGTCACTGGCAAAATACTTTTTATTACAACCTCATAATATATGTACTGTGGGGCGGAGCATTGTAACATCTCTTGGTGTGAAGTGCGAGCGCTTATCGCAAGCTGTTGTCGCTGAGACAATTGGACTGCGCTCGCTGTGCAGGTTTTCCGCCAGCTACCAGGCTTCAATAAACCCACTTTCATACTAAACCTTTATTACACTGACACAAAAGCACAAAGTCACTAAATTGGGGCTATCCTGAGATTACATTAATACAGGATCGTGTCTCGCGAAGCAGTTTAAAGCGGCGGCACGGCCATGGGGTAGCAGAGTCGACTGACATGCGGTACGCTTGGGTTTGATTCTTGCTAGTGAGGGGTAGAGGCCTTTGTCCTGCAGTGGACGTAGTCAGGCTGACCATGATGATGCGTAAGGGGTATATGCATGATATGCAACCATATAAACATATTCAGCCCGGTAACCTCGGGGTTCCGAATATATATATATATATATATATATAATATATATATATATATATATAATATTTTATCGAATATTATGCTCACTTTCGAGGCTTCAGAAGCTAGGAAATTCAACATGCCTAATTGAAATTTTAAGAAAGAATTTCGCTTACTCTAGATAATAGCGACATGCATAATCGTTGCGAACGGTCGCGTCATCAATGAGCGCACCAAAGTATTTCTAAATGCTGGCTAGAGACTCCTGGGGCATTCTGTACATGCGAAGCTTCGAAGCTGGTATAATTTCTGAAAAAGTCAAAAGCTTCCCTTACAGGAATTATGGTCGTGGTGACAACCTCTTGCCTCTCTCCCTACCAGTTGCACCCATAGCCACTTCGAGCCGCACAAGACCATACCTGAGGTATGAACAAGTGCTGCAACGAATTCAAGTAGTGGTGTTTTACTCCTGAAAAAAAAAAGAACTACGATAACGTGGAATGTCTTCAGTAACCGATAAAGGGTAAATCTTGATTTTGGGGGAATTTGTGAGACGGCCTCCAAAATGTACGTGCAGGGTGCTTTCGGCAAGTTGGTTTTTGATGTCCTTTAATGCCCCAACGCTACTCGGGCTAAGATAGACGCCGTGGTAGACTATCCCGGATAATTTTACCCCCTTTGGAATCTGTAACACGCACTGAAATCACATAGCAGAGACATGCACAGGTTATACACGAAGGCCCTCCCTCACCCCTCCCCCAAACCATCAACACGTCGAACGAGTTTGAAAAAAAAGAGAGTCCCGCAATGGATGCAAGAACAAAAAAGAAAAGAAAGCAATCTCGCCCTTCCGACAGCGGCCTGCCATTCTTTTTCAGCTTTCAAGGTGCGGATGTGCCAAAGTAGACAGTTATTCGAATGCAACATCTGCGATCCTTGTTTGCCTTTATCGTTACAAATCATACCTAAGCGCGATTTCGCCCCTTAAAAAATGCCTTGACATCTCACCTGAACGCGTGAGAGCTCCACCCTTTAGGTGAGCAGGGAATCCCATTTGTCCTGCGGATCTTGTGCGTACGCCTATGGTACACGAACTTCGGCAGTTTCGCTGCCACTTGAATGGGCATGTCACGTTCAATAATAAAACCCCAGTCTCTCAGCTTAACTGCGCAAAACTGTAGATGCTAAGCTACGACGGTGGGTGTCAGACCTACATATATTCATTCATTCTTGAATTGTCAAGTCAAAATAGTCAGCGAAATTCGAAAGTATTCTGAAAGAAACGTTTGGCATTACCCTAAATAGTGAACCATCAATACTAAATGGGCACAATCGTATAAAAACCTACAACGGTATTGTTGGTGAGATTTATTTCTCTGAGACTCTGAAGTTCTTCTGAAGTTCCCATCCAGATTAACTTATTCAAGAAAACACACCGTATAAAAACTCGTTTATTCCACATGCCAAAACGTCGTTTAAACACAAAAGTTATCACAGTGTTTCTCTTGCTTGAATCAATTTCTATATATCATTTGCAAAGTTCTAGTGAGCAATCATAGAGTGAATAGATAGCAGCGTAATGGGAGTGATGGTAAGTCGAAAAAGCAGTATTTCTTGTCTACACTTCACCAATGAAGGTTCAGCTTTAAAGAGAATTCTATAGTACAGCATACACAAAAATTACTACACATCACTACAAATATAAAACCAATAAAAACCACTTTGCTGAATAATTAGCGCAGGCTTCATGAAAGTTGGGAGGCATACTACTGTGCATTTGCTGTGAGCGCAGGATGCATGTATGCAGTAGGCGGCTGAGTAAGCCGCATGGATTCTGGCAGTTGCAGAAGAGTCACAGAGCAGAGGCAGGCAGGAACAAGTATCTGACAATGCCCGTCCTGTCAATTTACGTGAGTTCACAATATCTGAGCCCTGGTGTGATATACACTGCACCAGATAATTTCATGGCACAACAAAGTTAATCAAAGCGCTCAAAGCGATGCAGAATGTGTTTTACAGCATATTTCAAACCAAGATTTTGTGGCTCCATAGGGGATACAGATACACAATACCGCAGCGTTCTACAAATCATGACCCTTAACAAAGCCACCTTGTTCCAGAAATATTCTGCTAGTGGTTCTTCTACAATGGCGTGATGACTAGTAAATTGGAATTCTGGCATTCTGCATTACTATTGATATAATAATTGGCTTTAAACCAGTATTCGAAAATAAGATGTGCTGTTTCACAGTAACGAGTGCTCAATTAAACATTCACGCATCTGCAAAAAAAAAAAAAAACACCCAATACAAACGTATATACCCATATACTCTATGAACTTTTGAACGCTTTATGGCAGAAGTTGCCAGTTTATTCATGCAATCCGCGTTAAATATGACGCGAAGTGCCGTGAATGATGGCTTAGGCATATTTACGTGTTTCATTTCTTTTACTCGTATATAATTTTTTGATGCAATTACTGGCCTCCATAACCAGACGTACAAGCTGAGGCATTCCAGAAGTGTGATATTTTTGTACACGCGCATGTGAAAGACACCCTTTTCTTTAAACTACAGCGCCTCAGTATAAGGGAAGGTGCGTAACTGGGCTAGCTGAGATGCCATTGTTGTACAACCGGCCCCAAATGAGCAGAAAGGGATTCGGATAGATGGTACTGTCAGCGCCAGTTTGCGTCGATTCATTGATTTTGCATCCCTTTCGCTCTTTTCGTGAACTGTCAATGCGAAGGTCGCCGTAAGCCTTACTTCTCACTGATCCTAGCTGCGAGAACGTAGATCTTAGCAATTAAAAGACAGGCAAAATTAGACCGCCATACAACAGTGATTTGTTATTGTGTGCTCTATCTATTCCTTCGCACTGATCGACATCCAGGGAAGTACAACAGCATGTTCAATAGAAATAACTTATTTTTACTGGAAGTCAAACGGAACAATTTGTCTTGGTAGCTACTCAACATATGAGATTTTTTCAAGTGTAGAGAACAAATGAATATTGAGCAAATGTACTCTCTATTACTAGTACTAATGTGCAATGAAACGTCTACATCTTCGTGAAACTGAAATTATTACACTGAAAAATACACTGACCCAGACACCACTGTATCAGGGTCATATTTTTTACTACATTTTACTTAGCAGTAGTCTTAGTTAGCTGAAAACAATGCATGGCTATTTCATAGCATCGCTCCGCGTTTGGTGTTGTACGAGTAGAGGGAATTTATGTTACGCGCGGTTGGCATGTAAACACCGCGGTGTCAATTAGAACATATGCCTACAAGAAAATGTGAATCCCACACGCAGCTATATTATCACTGCAGGAGGAGCGTGTAAAAATAGCAGCAGAATAAAGAGGTGCACACAGCTCGGCGTGAGATACGCATTCAAAGGCACCAGAACAAAAGTGAAGTAGCACACATCAATTCAAGCAAAATATCAACCTTCATTCCACTCTCAATACGTCAAACAGTGTACGCTGCCCAATACCACAGAGTCCAGCTTCATCAGTCACGCTGATTTTCGAACTTAGCAAATCATCAATCGCACAAGGTTTGTCAGTGGTGTTCAGGGTATACCCTGAAAACCACTCACAAACGTTAGAATATGCACATTGAAGAATACCTTCTATATATAGTCAGCACAATGTTCGTCATCAAGAGAAAGAAGAAATCAGAGGACCAACAGAAACACGTCATAAATGGGATCATGTTGATAACAAGTCCTATACCGATAAAACAACCAAATAATCCCTAGCATGCGTTTTAAGTATTTCCGCAAACTGCAATAGACACAACGCTGTCAAGGAAGACGTGAGAAACAAACATTCTGTTGGTGGGATTGTTGGAAGACGAAATGTCTTCGTGAGCACGGCAAATGCACGACTAGATCACATGAGTCAATACTGCACACGTTTTTTTTTTTTCACGTTCTGATAACGTGGAAGCTCTAAGGGCCATTTTGTCCACACTGAAAATGCTGTTCATATGCAGAATTCACATCATTGCTGTTTTTCCCATTAAAGTCATGCTGCACTGCTTGGGAAGCAACAGTGGGAAAATGCACATTCCGAAGGCTTCATCAAACGTTATTCAGGCAGACCGCGAGCGCACTTCATACGCGTGCTGCACTATGTGTACTTGGTTCATATTCTGAACGTCACTGTGTGTCTTTAGGGGCATCATTTTTGGCCAATTTTAGCGTTACAGTGCACCAGTGACAACTGGGTTGGTTGGTAGCAGAACCTTATCAAAGAGACAACTAGGGCTTCCGTGAAACATGTAACATAACTGCATACGCTTTCCAAATTCAGGCAACTTGCACGCGCTACGCATACGAAACGCTCATGAAGGCTAGTCGAGCCAGCCATGTTGCTGACCAGTATGAGGGGAAGAGGTCCAGAATAAGAAAAGTGCCGTCACGCGAGAAAATCTGCAGGAAGCTCCCGCGAATAAAGATTATTAATTTCTCTAAATACCTTGGCAAGAAAGTTTTTGCGAAAATTTACGCATGTCCATATCCGTCAATGCGTGTTTTCGAAGCCTATGTGGCGCATTAGAGGGCACCAGAGTTTTGCCTTGCTTTCCACACTGGCAATAATGATTGGCGAACGAGATTTCACAACTTCACACATGCGTCATGGTCACGCGGTTCTCCCTTTCACCGCCCCTCTACCAGTTCAGTAATATGTTACGAAAATTCTGCAGTAACCTATTATGATTCCGGTTACTAGGTCATGTAAAACTATCTACAATGTGTGCAGCGTAACTCGCCGTCAGCTGTCCCTTTCCGTGATTTAACGGCCCACATCTTAACGGCATGACCACCCAAGGCTTTATAACATGCCAGTGAACATGGCAAAAAAAAAAACAAACGTCGCCTTGGTGTAGACGGCACTCCTTAGACAGGTCACCGCAGCAGAAGAGCTGTAAACACCGAGGCTATTACGGCGGCCATCTGAGATGCTGGGATGGAGGCGCCACCCGCCGTGTCGTCGGGCGTGGCACATTTGTCTCCCGCAAAGTCGCCGACGCATGCAGCATACGCCATCACGTGCGGAATGTACGACTGGTCGTGGACGCCAGTGTAGAGGTGCGCCCAGGGCCCCGTGGCGTACACGGCCACGTCCTCCCCGCCGTGGGTCTCCTCCTTAAGTGGGAAGGCCGACCGTTGCACGTAGTCTGGTTTCGCTGCACCGCAAAATGTTAACAGGAGTTTCTCAATTTCCTTCGACAACCGTTCTTTTAGTTCCGCTGGTTAATCCAGGCTCTCTAATCGCGATTATAACTCAGCTTGCCAAGGCCATCGAATGTCTATAAATTATTGCTAAAGCAATGGTGCAATATAGGAGGAAATTGGCACAAACGACAAACATATCGCATCAAGTTGGTCTTCGATTGATATGTGAGGTTTAACGTCCCAAAACCAGCATATGATTATGAGAGACGCCGTAGTGGAGGGCTCCGGAAATTTTGACCACCTGGGGTTCTTTAACGTGCGCCCAAATCTGAGCACACGGACCTACAACATTTCCGCCTCCACCGGAAATGCAGCCGCCGCAGCCGGGATTCGAACCCGCGACCTGCGGGTCAGCAGCCGAGTACCTTAGCCACTAGACCATCACGGCGGGGCATCAAGTTGGTCTTCGTAATTGCCCGAATGATTATATTGCGGATATATTGCTCCAGTAGGTGGTGCACTACTTATTTGTAAGCTTATATGTTTTTCATGTTAAACTCATATAGCCGTGACATGATAAAGTGCCATATTATACTTCTTGTTAGACATGAAGGCCACCATGCAACTAACTTTATTACCCTATATACCGCATTTGCTAACACGATTATATTTGTTTGTCAGACAGCTATACCATCCCTTTTAGTGCTATGAATAGATATATTTACATTTATGAATATTGTATGATTATATTTGTTTGTCAGACAGTTATACCATGCCTTTTAGTGCTATGAATAGATATATTTAGATTTATGAATATTGTATGACGTTGATGCTATTCTGGCGAATAACTATTACGTCCCTCTTAACAAAAGCTCTAGAGAGTGTACTTCAAGGGCCTCAAAAATGTTTTTTTTTTCTTTATTCAGAGGTTAATCTAAACAAAATCAAAGTCATCGGCACCTCGATTTTAAATGTGCGTAGTTCTCACTAACAGTTTTCAAGATACATACGCAACGTAAAAAATGAGCCTCAAGAAAACCACAATTCTTATTTATGACGCGTGCTTCTCGCGAAAAAGTCGGCTTAAAAAAAGTAAAATGAACTGCGCTGACAAATGCCGACTATAGATTATCGAGAGGCTCAACACTTTGAGATTATGTTCTTCACGTGAACGTTTAGCTAGATGTGAAGGAGCCACAAAATTTTTGTGGCCGCTATGACTATACTATTGAAAAAGAAATAGAGGCAATGTCACATGAAAACATCAAATGAAAAAAAAATGGTGCATACCAACTTGTTCGTTTGTAAAGTTCTCACTTGGAGCCTTAAAGCCAGGGCCATTTCCGTAGGTGAGAACAGTGAAGGGCAATTGGTCCATGTCTGAATATCCGGCTATACCTGGCGAGAGAGAAGGAATGTTTGTGTGAGCAGTTCTTTAAAAATATGCTGTGTAGGAACGAAAACAGCAACATTGTACAGATATTGGTGTGGCGGCGAAAAAGAGGTGGGACTGTGAGCGTTGCAGTGAAAACAGCACGAAAGCTTTTGTATAGTATGCACGAGCATTTCTTATAGAAACAAATTCCGTCCATTCTAGCTTATATCAAGCCGGTAACGGCAAGCACAGACATTGAAAATTTTGATGTTAGAGCGTTAAGAAACACTTGTCGTATGAAATGCTCCATTGTGATTGGTGGCATTTCGGGTGCGTGGGAAATTCCCTAAATACAAATAACGAAAAACTAGATGCAAGCCAGAACCAAACCCACGCATCCTTCGTGGCAGCAACGTTGTAGTTCTACCACGAAGTTACCACAGGCCTAGAAACTGCTTCGGTGTATTGCTCTATACAGGCGTCATGTCAGAGCAACGTCGATTGTTCTTGCAAAGTTGCCCATTGGCTGGTATAGTAACATAATAAACCTTATATATGATTTCCTATGATTCTGAAAGACATATTGAAGCATATTTCTACCATAGAGAAATGCGCTAAGAAAGCTATGTATAATATACACAATATTACACGATAGCGTGCATCTGATTTTGATAAAACGGAAGTCTCTGCTGCTCAATTACCTGCTGAAGCTCAATCGGGCCATAGCCTATTCTTTGCCAATATATGCATATAGACGAAGTGCTCTAAAAGCACACGATATGCGAGCAATCACATCATATACACAAACACGTCGGTCCATTTCGTAACCTTCGGCTCAAAACGGATAATGAGAATCTAACCCACGTCTTCGAGCTCAGCACCGAAACACCTTTCCTACTAAGCTGTGTTGGTGGGCAAATGCAGAGCAAACGAATCCCTCGGGCACTTTTCGCAAGTGTCCCTTTCATAACAGCCACGCTGACGCACCTACAAGGCGCCCACTTACCAAGAATGTTGGTGCCTCGTTTCGGGTAGCCGCCCATTGTGAACGTGTGCGAGTGGTCGGCTGTCACGATCAGCAGAGATTCGTCCGCGTTGAGCTTGTCGCGCGTCTCCTGAACTGCCTGGTCAAACTCCAGAGCTTCCTCGAGGGCCGAACCACCCTGGCTCTTGTGGTGGGCCATGTCGATGCGTGCTCCTGTTTGAGGAATACGGGGAGTGGCACTCAATGCTGGAAGTCGCTATTTTTCATATCGCTATTCTCTCCTATTCAATGAGTTTGAAGCACAAAAAATGGTAACTGGCTTCGGGTTTGCTATAATATACCAAGATATTGAACTCAAAACAAGCTTTGTGTTGCTGTTGATCAGCATTTGCTCTTTCTATGCGAAAGCAAACCAGACAATCGATACATAACTCTACCAGTGCATTAGAAGAAACAGAGGTTACCATAGCATTATTCGCTTTATAATGAATTATTTGCAGAGTCACAGAGAGGCCGGCCAACAGGCACCCTAATTTTATTAGCAGAGACAAAATAAGAAGAATGATTTTTACAATTCGATGACATGAGCTTGCTTTTGCCAGGTGTGTAGTAATAATGCATAAGCACACCGTGTGAGTAGCGCGACAGTTTGTCTCTATGCTGACATGCGTTTGCTTTAAGTTCTAGCGACAGTTTGTCGCTACAGCATGAAGGAAAACATACATTTTTCACCATCATAGACGTTCTTGGATTGAGGCATGTGTTGCATACCTTCTACGAGCAGCACGAATCCCTTGGGAGCCTTGCTGAGGATCTCCACGGCGACCCTGGTCATCTCCGGCAGGGTGGGCTTCGTGCTGTCCGGGCTATTGCGCTCGATCACGTAAGGCACATGGTCGTTGTCGAATATTCCTGCATGCCAAAAGTGCCGCAATGGTACATAGTTGCTTGACACATTTGAGGCAAAACGGGCACTTGAACGAATTCCGCGTAAACCAATGTGCGCACATGGTCAACTATGTGAAAGCAAGCGTGGTACTCTCTTCTTGCATAAGTACGTCAAGGCTCACATACTTGTCAAAATATTCTGAAATAACAGAGGGCTGAACTAGTTGCTACGTATTCATTCTAAAAAAGACAGGGCGTGCAAATACGGATGAAAGAAGGACGTCCGAACACCACAGACGTCTTTCGAGGTGTCCTGACTCGCTTCGTGCGTCCGTGATTGCATGTCCTGTGTTTGTAGAATTAATCGTAAATACGTGTTCCAAGTGCCAGCATTGAGATAATAAAATTGGATAAATAAAGCTGGCCTCCCTGAACAAGAAATGGCGGCTACTTAGCGCAGACTGATGAGTGAAAGCAAGCGGTGCTTCGCGATATCTCCAAGACAGTATGAACGGAGTAGCACAGCAATTTATTCGATGATGATGATATATGGTGTTTTTTGGCGCAAGGGCCATTTGATGGCCAAAGAGCGCCAGTTCATGAGACAGGAATGTGGACAATGGTTGTGATTAGCGGCTGTATAAGGGCCATAAAATTCCTCGCAGTAAAGCGGGTAAAAACATACAAGTAATGAAATCATGACCATGCCGTGAAAGGTGTGTGTGGTGTGAATAGGTGACAAAAGTTGGTGATAATGAAAAGCGATGGTGGACATGTATGGCATTAGCACAAGTACCTCACACGTTAGTACCCTTGCGTGCAAGGGCCGTGAGGCAAGTGCTTTCCTGTGTAGCCACCGCAGCAAAAACCTCTCTAGAGAGGTCGTGCTACGGTATGCCCGGGTATATGATATGAAAATTATGACTTTACTTTAAAAACGCTAATAATGATTTGTGACTAAAAAGCGGTTCCCTACCAACGAACATTGCAGGGTGTAAAGGTATATGTTGTCGGTAGGATAGTGGGAAGTGTTGTCGTGTTAGAGTGTCTAAATGTTTACATTGAATTAAAACGTGAAGAACTGTTAATGCCTCACCGCATTTATCACACAATGGTGGATCACCACCGGACAAAAGATGTGTGTGTGTCGTGTATATGTGTCCTATCCTGAGTCTTGTTAGTGTTACCTCTGTTAGACGTGATTTTGATACTGGTGGCCAATGGCCAAGGTGTGGCTTGATAACGTGTAGTTTGTTTTGTGTGTGTGTATCCCACTTGCTCTGCCAGTAGTCCCTGAGTTTTCGTTTGAGAGACGGCTTAAGATCAAGGGCCGGGATTGATGTCGGTGTAATGGCGGTGCTTTCGTGGGCGGATGCAGCAAGCTGATCCGCCATCACGTTGCCTTGAATCTCACGGTGCCCTGGCACCCAGCACACAACGACATGTCTGTTGAGTGTGTAGAGGGTGCATAAAATGGAGTAAAGTGAAACGAGGACAGGGTTTTTTTTTGTTTTTTAAGACTGTGCAGAGCCGTTACCACACTGAGGGAGTCTGTATAAATTACTGCTTTTTGTATTTGTGATTGTTTGATGTGTTTAGCTGCCACAAGTATCGCGTAAGCTTCCGCTGTGAAGATACTTGTGCCTGGATGTAGAGGGCCAGCATCCGAAAAGGAAGGGCCAACAGCAGCGTAAGACACAGAGGAGTTAGACTTAGAGGCATCTGTAAAGAACTCAGGACGTGTGTATTTGTGCTGAAGTTCCTGGAAGTATGTTCGAATATGGGCAATAGGCGCATGTTTAGTCACTTCTAAAAAAGACACATCGCAATCTATAGTCTGCCACTGCCACGGTGGCGGGTATGCTACAGGAGCCATTACACTGTGTTCGAGTGACACTCCAGTGTCCTCAGCTAGACCCTTCAGGCGAACTGAGAAGGGCTGCCTGATTGAAGGCCTGTTTTGAAAAAGAATGGAGCTCGACAAGTCATTAATAGTAGAGTATGAGGGGTGCCTCTTGTCTGCTTTCACCTTAAGGAAATATACAAAGGACATGTAGGTTCTTTGCAGATGAAGCGACCACTCATTTGACTCAACCTAAAGGCTTTCTACGGGGCTGGTGCGAAAAGCACCCGTAGAAAGGCGGATGCCCGAATGGTGCACGGGATCCAGCATCTTCAAAGCACTTTGAGTCGCTGACTGATAAACAATGGCCCCATAATCTAAGCGGGTGCGAATAAGGCTTCTATACAGGTTCATGAGGCATTTCCTGTCACTACCCCACGTAGTACGTGACAACACTTTTATAACATTCATGGCTTTTAAACATTTTTGTTTTTAAATACTTTATGTGGGGTACGAAGGTCAACTTGTTGTCCAAGATTAAGCCTAAGAATTTATGCTCGGCTTTGACGGACAGTTGTTGCCCGTTCAGCTGAATGTCGGGTTCCGAGTGCATGCCTCTCTTTCGAGAGAACAAGACACACGTGCTTTTTTGTGGGTTAAGTCGAAATCTGTTTTCATCTGCCCATTTGGAGATCTTATTTAAACCCAGCTGAACCTGCCGCTCACACATGGCCAAGTTGCATGACTTGAAGCCAAGCTGAACGTCGTCGACATATGTACAATAGAACATATTGCGGGGAATGGACAAGTGCAAAGAATTCATTTTAATAATAAAAAGTGTGCAACTAAGCACACCACCTTGTGGCACGCCTGTTTCCTGGACAAATGTTTGGGAGAGAATACTGCCCAGACGGACACGGAATTTCCGATTGGACAAGTAACTCTCGATTATGGAAAGCATTCTACCGCGCACACCCAGGTGAGACAAGTCTCTTGATATGCCGAAACGCCATGTTGTGTCGTAGGCCTTCTCGATATCGAGAAACACAGAGAGGAAGTATTGTTTGTGGGCGAAAGCGTCTCGGATCTGTGCCTCGATACGCACCAGATGGTCGGTGGTGGATCTACCCTCTCGAAACCCACATTGGTATGGGTCGAGCAATTTATTTGTTTCTAAGTAGTGGAGTAAGCGGCAATTAATCATTTTTCCAAATAGCTTGCAGAGGCAGCTTGTTAACGCTATAGGTCTGTAACTTGATACAATAGAGGGATCTTTTCCCTGCTTCAAAATTGGAATTATAACAGCCTCCTTCCAGGCGGAGGGGATCACACCCGAAAACCATATGCGATTATAAAGAGAGAGGAGGGTTTCTTTAGTTTCGGAGGGTAGTTCCTTCAGCATCGCGTACATTACGTTGTCAGAACCTGGGGTAGATGTATTACAGCAGCTGAGTGCTGTTCGCAGTTCTGCTAAGCAGAATGGTGCATTATATGCCTCATTTCTTGGGGATTTTCTTTCTAACTTTTGTTTTTCTATTGGTGCCTTGTAATTCTGGAAGGATTCGGAGTAGTGTGAGGAGCTCGATATGTGTTCGAAATGTGTGCCAAGAAAGTTGGCTTGATCCTCCAAGCTTTCTCCGAGGCTATTAACTAGTGGAAGAGAATACGTTTGTTGGCCCTTAATTTTCTTTATCTTATTCCACACTTTTCCCTCGTCTGTGTACGAGTTGATACTTGATATAAACTTTGTCCAGCTCTCTCGTCTAGCTTGTCGGCGCGTTCTCCTTGCCTGCGATTTGACCCGCTTGAAATTTTCCAGGTTTTCTGCTGTAGAGAAATCGCGAAGCAACGCCCATGCTTCGTTCTGGGTGGTCCGTGCTTTCCTGCATGCGCCGTTCCACCATGGGACTCGACGTTTAGAACACATGCCACTCGTTTTGGCAATACATTTAGATGCGGCATCAAGTATAAAAGCTGTAAAATACGTGACAGCGTCATCTATGGTCAGGGCAGACAGCTCAGTCCATGTCATGTGTGTAAGAGTTCTATACCCTTCCCAATCAGCTGAGTCAATCTTCCATCGAGGAACCTGCGGGGGTAGTTGATCTTTGTTCGGCGCACTCAGGATGATTGGAAAGTGATCACTCCCATAAGGGTTTTTAAAAACGTTCCACTTAAAAACAGGTAAAAGGGACGGTGATGAAATGCTAAGATCTATGGAGGAGTACGTGTTGTTTGCAAGGCTAAAATACGTAGGCTCCTTCATATTTAAAAGACATAAACTAGAAGAGAAAAGGAGCTGCTCAATGAGACGTCCTCGCGCATCACAGTGAGCATCGCCCCACAGGACATTGTGTGCATTAAAATCACCTAGAACCAGAAACGGCTCTGGGAGTTCATCTAATAATGATTCTAGATCACGTCTGTGTAGCTGTTGATGCGGTGGTATGTACACAGAACATATGGTAATGAGTTTGTTAAAAAGTACAGCTCGAATGGCCACTGCCTCAAGGGCTGTTTGGAGCTTCAAATGCTGGCATGCTATACTACGATCAGCTATAATGGCTACACCGCCAGATGGTACGACAGCATCCTCCCGGTCTTTTCGGAAAATTATATATTGCCGTAGGAAGTCCTTGTGCTTAGGAGTTAAGTGCGTTTCTTGCACACATAGCACTTTCGCGTTAAACTTACTCAGAAGTTCTTGGACGTCATCTAAATTTCTCAGTATTCCTCTTACGTTCCACTGTATGATTTTGTCCATAGTGGAAGAAAAAAGAGAAAAAGTGCTGTGTGCAGAAAAGACGAAGATTAGCTCATTTTACAGGGCCTTTGTCAGGCCCTGTAATCGGCGTTTTGTCTTTTTTGGGGCGGTCGAGAGAAGCTCGCCGCTCCTTCGGCGCTCCCTGCGCCGTTTGGCATGAACTGGTGTCCATAGCCTCTTGCGAGGCACTGGACGCCCGCTCTACAGAGCGATCTGTGCGTCGCTTAGACTTCGCCTCGATCGACGAAGTCTTTGTCCCCACCGAGCTGGGGGTCGATAAAGCCCCCTTGGCCTCGTGATTGCCCTGGCTGCCGTTAGAGCTTGTCGAGGTCGCTGGTGTGGACTGGCTGAATGTGGGCAGGGCAGCGCTAGCTGCTCCCGCCGTAGGGGCTTGTGGCATTGGCCTCGGCACGCTAG